ATTATTATTATTATTATTATTATTATTATAACATTTTATTGTAGGCGTTGTTTAAACCACTCTAGGTCACCTTAAACGGAAGACTTTAAAAATACATATAAGAATAACCAAGGAAGTATCCATGACATCAGTAAAAGAAGTAAGAAGAAGCAAATTTCTCCGGTCACAAAGAAAATGAGCGTTTATTGTGCCAGAAGCACGACTGAAATTTCACCGGCTAAAAAGAGGCCTGTGGACGACCCTGGGCAGAAAGTGAGGGAGCGGTTTAAAAACGCTCTTCACAACCCTCTAACCATTTTGGATTGGTTTGAGGGTTGTGAAGGGGGCGGATCTGAAATGAAACCCAGTCAATTTCTCGTCTTTTTCTGCTGTCCTCTCTTTCTCACGTTTTTTTCTATCAGTGTTGCACATAAACACGTTTATCTCTCTCCCTATGAAATACAGTAACTGCATATCAGAGACACTTTGTGAGCAAATGCACAGAAACAGTTTGTGTGTTGGGTGATATCTCGAGCTGTTTGAAAGGTGCATCTTAAAAGAAAGTTGCACTTTAAAGTTTTGTAGCGTCCCTCCGACAGAAGACAGAGACGATCAGTATTCCGTTTACTGGCTGTTTATTAAGAACAGTAACACAGGCTGTGGACCCAACACGTTCTCACTCCCAAAGCGTGGGCCATAAGCAACGCTAAAGCAACAGGCGTTGGCTACGCTTGGCTGTTTCTCAATATGCATACTTGGTATTTAGAAATCTCCCTGCACTCTTTGATCGATTCCCAGAAGAGTTCCTTGGCCTCTTCCACCACCTGGACAACATCTGGAGAGGCCTTTCTTACAGTTGAAACCACATTAGTTAATTATTGTTTTCAAGAAGTAGTTCAACAAATGGGACTGGAATCCTCACAGTATCCAGTGTAATCTGTTAACCCAGCCATGCTGTAAAGTAATTATCTCAATCTCAGGCAGTAGTTGATAGTATTGTCCCACGCTTCTGAATCAGCCACTGCAGCAGATAAGGAAAAATGTTCTCATTGCCCTATTACAATAGATATTAAAATAACAGTATGCATCATATAAACACTGTATGTTAAGATTTCTAACTGTCATGGGCCTGGGTCTGTTATTTTGGGGTTTGATGAATAATTATTAGTTTCATTTGTCTTCTGGAATGCTTATGGTTGTTTGTTGGTGTGATCTTCTCCTGTTCCCTCGCTTGTCCGTGTTGGAGTTGGTGTGTGTGTGTTTGTGTGTGTGCCTATCAAGGAGCCCTACTTAAGAGAGCAGTGGACGGCGGATAGGATTGTACTAAATGTGGCATAGGTCAAATGTGGAAACATGTGACGGGAGCAGCACACTGTGTACATAGGCACCAAGGAGGACAAAACTTCACCACATATCAAGGAGAGGAATCAAAGCCTGGGAATTGGGAACACACTGTGGATTGTTGGCACTGTTTCATAGCTTTTTGTAAATAAACACACTTTCTCCGTTTAGAACGTTCTGCATTTGGGTCCTCCTTCAACCAACCCTGACACTAGCAGCCTTAACTTTCATTTGATCACCACAGGACATTGGTCATGAGTTTAATGTGTAATGAAATATGAGCTCGGGCAAAGCTTGTGTTTAATATTGCACAAGAAACAAGACAAAACAGCTTTCCTGTCTTTGAACAACACATGGAAATTTTCACCTCTTCAGAACAACTACTGAAACGTGCAGGAAATCCAGTGTTTATTACACAGTGTGGAAACTCGATGCTGGACTTAATCAAACATCAAAGATGACGATGATGATGAGATAGCCTTTATTTGTCAGTTGCAGTTGCCCACAACCGAGATGACAGACCTTGCCGACCGTACATACAATACACAAACATCACATTGGGGAGACAGGTCAGGCTAGGTAGCAAGGGGAAAAAAACATTGAAATGTGTAACACAAAAGGATAATACAGGAATGCACAGATATCAACACACCATAGCACAATAAAACACAGACAAGCAACATGGGAGAGTATTCCAGTGTGTACAGCTGATCTGGGACCGCTGCAATCTTCGATTGCGCCTCCAGCTGATCCGGTGTCCACATCGGATGGGAGGTAAGCATGGGAGGAGGCGTTGGATCCGGGGTAGGGAGGGTGATAGTGAGGGCGTATCAGTGTACGTGTTTCGTGCTTCTGCATGTGTGTGTATCCTGTGTTCAGCGGAGATAAAGTGTCACCACGCCCGGTTAAGCGTCAGTCAACAGTATACTGTGCCACTTGGTTTTGCATTTTATGTATGCCCTGCCTGCTAGCATCTTGCACCCTGCTGTTATGTGCTGGATTGTCTCAGGGGGATCTTTACACAGCCGGGTAGGAGGGCCACCGCGATGAGCACGGAAGCCTAGATCTTGGTGGTAGTAGCAAATATTCAAACGAGAACTTTGAAGGCTGAAGTGGAGAAGGTTCTATGTGAACAGCAGTTGAACATGGGTCAGTCGGTCCTAAGGGATGGGCAAACGCCGTTTGGAAGCGCGGGGCGATGTCCTACGTCGCCTTATTGAAAGGGAGTCGGGTTCAAATCCCTGAACCTGGAGGCACCGCGAGGTGCCCAGTGCGGTAACGCAAACAAACCAGGAGAAGCTGGCGGGGGCCCCAGGGAGAGTTGTCTTTTCTTTGTGAAGGGCAGGGCGCCCCAAGATAGGGGCCCGTGCCCTGGAAAGCGTTGCGGTTCCGGCGGCGTCCGGTGAGCTCTCACTGGCCCTTTAAAATCTGGGGGAGAAGACAAGGAACCAGCCATGGTGTAACCTCAGTGGCCGGGGAACAATATGAGAAAAGCACCACCAAAACAGGAGATGGAGCAATACTGGAAGAGCATATGGGAGAAGGATGGAACCCATAACAGCAAAGCTAAGTGGCTAGTGGATTTAAGAGCAGGGTCCTGTTAATTTGGGTTTCACCCAGGACTGTATAGGAGTAGGTTGAATAGCAGTGGTGTTCACCTTTGGGTGTCGGTCAGAACACACAGGACACGCAAATAAGGTTATTTCTTCTTTACTGTCATTCTTTGGCACAACAACACAGTAATGCAAACACAGACTTACGGGGTGGTGTACAAGAACCTGTAGGTATGGGAGTTGGGGTGTGTGATATACGAACATAACATATACAAAATACTGAATATAATAAACATTCAAGTCTGTGAAGGTTCTCAGTCATCCAGGTCATCGTAGTCTAAGGAGCTTGGAAAGAAGGGAAGGAAAGTTCACCAGGGAAGACACAAAGGACAACTGTTTGCCTTTCCTGGACTGCGCTGTGCACATTGAAGAGAATGGCAACCTCAACAT